CATTACATGAGTTTCACGACCCGTTTCATGTGAAGTGGCGTCGTAATACTCTGTGAAAACGCGATATTCACGATATGCAGTAGTCGCGAAATATATTTTTCACTAATTTTCGCGAAGTATTACTCCACTTCACGTGAAACGGGTCGTGGAACTCCATTGTTATATACAAGTGCACCTTGTATATTGAGTATCCTTACCAAGATAGCGATCCCCGAAAAAGTTGACCTGGTTGCTTTTCTCTGCGCCCCACTGCCTGTTGTTGAATACGATAGCCGTGGTTGGTATTTGCTCCCTTATGCAGGTGACGACTTCATTTATGCCGTTCATCATCCATGAACCATCACCATGGTAACTAATTTCATACCACTCCTTCACAAAATCACGAATCGTCATTACGCCACAGCCGGTCTGTCGGGTCTGGCCAGCTTAGCGCCCATCATAGCACCAAACGCAGGGCCGCAAGACGCCCACATTCCCGGACCGACAAGGGACGGCTCACGCGTGATGAACTGAAGGAGTGGTATTCAAAAAGTCGACAACAACATCGTACCTTAGGCATATAGCTGCTACTGAGAGCCGACAAATTGCCAGTATCGACGCTCAACATGGTGTTCTCCGGCAAAGCCGTTTCTACAGCTGCCAAGGCCTGCCGAGGCCTCACCCTGTTCGGTTGGCACAACTTCGTATCGTCAGTCATACTCTTCAGTGTCGCTTCCCACTCACTGACCTGTTTTCAGCGATGAGTGGTATGAGAAAATCGACAGTAGTAATGATAATACATGAGCTCTAGCCTTAGACAATCTACCATTGATGGCATTCGGGTCTAAGAGCTGTCGCGCCGCGTGCTTCCCTTCAGGTGATGTAAAATATCTGATAAAAACTTCCCTACAGAACCAATTCGAGATTGTCCAACCTAGTGAGAATATCCATAAACTGTCCAACATCACCATTAACCGCTACTGCTACCGGACCTGTCGAGAGCCTCAACTACCACAGAGAGGAAGAGCATGCACTCACTGGTGAGCCCCAGTCGTCGAGAGTCGATATCAACTTGAACTAGCTTGGCATTCTTCGGCCACCAGTCCAAGCCGTATTGACTGATAGAATCATCACCTCCACAGACAAGCACCTCCCCTACGGGTTTTTCATATAAGGGTTGATGCGCGTGCCCAAAGCCAACACGACATCAGCATCCTTGGCTACTTTCATAGCCCCCAGACTACCACCATAACTAAAGCACGACGCTTATGCACTCTCCATACCGTAAATCGCCCACCTCAGAATACCAGCGCAAAGAGGATGGTCCTGTGGGAAGGCGTCACCATGCAGATAGGTTGTAACCACTGGGCATTGTACGCTTTCCGCAAACCTTACTGCGGCCTCGATATTCTCCTTGGAGGCGGCCACACCCCCTCCTACCATTATGACCTACAGCGCATTGGGCAAGAGATTGTGACGATAGCAATGACGATATTATACCGGATTCTTAGCACTCATAAGGAGCTCCTTGGCGCGCTCGATCGACTTGGGCCCCCCCGGGCCTCGCTCAATGTGAAGTGGATCCGGTATAGTAAAGTCATATTTTCCATACCAGTAATCTCTGAAGTAATGTTCATCACTGCTAAGGGGTGTTATGTCCATGCCTTCACCTCGGTATGTTGATCTGTGTCGGTCCTCGGTCGTTGAGGGCGATATCAAAGGCCCTCGAGGTTATCTCTGCGACCCTTTTAGGGTTGTTCACCTGCCCTTGGTACTTTACCATACTCTCGAATATCTTCAACTGATCGCATTCCTGAAAAATGCAAAATATGTGAAATTACTTATAATGTGGTCCGACCTGAAAACCCCCAGTTCCCGTTTGCATCGAAGAGTGGTCGGGCGTGATGACCACTACAGGGCTGATCAACCAAAACAGTTGACAATTTCTATTATATAATCGCCCGTTTACCTATGGGACCAGTAACAGCCCTGTAGGGCAGTAACAAAATTAGTGATACCAGGGCCGTTCTGAGCCGCGCATACACCGTGACGACCACTGATACGGGCGTAACTGGAGAAAGCGGAATAGGATGATGATTATGTTATTACTGCCGCACCCATCAGCCATATGAACAGCGTTCTGTTCGTGTTGGACGCTTATATACCTACAACATGGCACTGTAGTGGTAGCTGTTTGATCGACGTAAGGTGGTCTGACCTTATCCCTGCTATGGGGAAGAGATCGAGGGCATCCATAAAGGCTGAGCCGGCGATTCCGAAGACATATTTCACATCCTGAGGGGTGATGATGATGACGATAGCAATACTCGTTTAAGTTGAGCACTATCGAAAATTCATCGATAAATATATTATTCTCAAAGATTATTTTCACAATAAGAAACCAATGGATTTTCACGACCCGTGTTATGTGAAGTGGAGTGATACTCTGTGGAAAAAACCCGATATTCGCGCTATGCAGTAGTCGTGAAATATGTTTTTCATATCACTAGGGTGATATGTGTATAAAAGTGTTACCATACCGAGATTCAATCATAGATCTCTGTAGAAGGATGATACAAATTCTATATGTAAATGGAGCCACACCGAATGTTCGAAGTAGTGATACCAACCTGTTTTATGAGGGTTTCCACAAACGCCTCGCTTGGGGTCATCGTTCCCTTATCAACAGCCGTCGAGAAGTTACTACGGTTAAAGGTAGTGGCATAAGCCAGACGACGACTGTAGCGAGCTGGAGTGGAGATAAGGAGGGCCATAGTGATGG